ATTAATTTGCTTTTAGCCTGCTGCTGCTTTGTATTCTTTACCTAATTTGTGTCATCTGTACTGAAATGGTAAGCCATTGTGAGTATTTTTGGTAAAGAAAAGAAGAAGTAGAAATTGGACTGCAGAAATAAATTAGCAAAGGACTGATGGTAGCATGTGGATTTCTTTTCCTATATTCCACCTCCATTTCTGGTCACAGAGTTGACAGGTGTTATAGTGCTATGGAAACTCTGCTGGAGCAAGACTATGATGCTCGTTTTTAGCTCCTCCGAGAGCACTTTGTCCTATAAGGCGATCCTAAAATGTTACAGAGAAACTAACTCCTGATCTGCTCTCCCACAGTGAGTTAGAATTAGGCAAAAGTGACCCTCTCTCAGCTCTGCTGGTGGTGATGGAGGGGCTTCAGCACTCTGGGCTTCCCCAAAGCCTCCATTGCCACTGGCAATGCTAGCCAATGATCCAATGATAAAGATAGATCACTCATGTGAGGTAATCAATCAATTACTTAATTGGCTGGATCCCTAGATCTAAAACATGGGGCTAAACATACTCTCTAGCAAGAGAGAGACCATATCAGTTAAAAATCACAGAATCATGGGAGTAATGGGTTGTTAGACCTTTTAAATATCATGCTCTAGCCACTTACAGTGCTTCCCATCTCTTCCCCTCTTGCAATGAACAGACCACACCATTTAGAAAGTTAAGATGCTTTACTTGCAAACTTAAAAGGTCAGATTCATATGTTATTCCATGTAGAAGCAAGAAGAACACAGGTAGATATTTGGGGATTCAAAAGATAGTGAAATGGCTACATGACAAATTATTACATTTCTACCACATAAAGAGGTTATCCCCACCCCCCAAAAATGAACCCAGAATGTGAAGCAGCACATATATGTGTCTGTATGTCACTATGCTTTCTGTGACTTCAATTCCTGTGTTAGAACTCATTGGATTAGGCTTTAAATTGTATTTATGGAGAGACAGTCATCCTACATGGTCAAACTCTCAATGCATGGAAAGTACAACCAGTATTGCTTAACCTGTACTTACCACCATTCCTTTTAGTGCCCTGGCAAGCAAATCACAGAACGGGATCTTCTTTGGGCCAGATTTAACAATGACACAGTCCCATCCTCATGCTTCCCAAGATAACTGGGAATGTGATGGTGGTGAGGAAGGCAGGGAGACAGAAGTGCTTAGCCTCCCTCACTTCTCTGTAAATGATGTTTTGGCTGCTTTTTTTGTAGAAAATGGGTGAGTGAGGGAAAGGCTACAGTTCCCCCCAACCCATCTTTTCCCTGAGTCTCCCCTGCAAATCTGCCTGGCTTCTGTCCCATATTAGTATTACAAGGAAAACATGATATTGGGAAACCTATTTCCTTCAAAACTTCTCTTTTGGCCCATAAAGCGAGGGTGGGGAATCTCTAGCCCCCAGGCCAAATGTGGCCCTCCAGGCCTTTTTGGCGCTCAGCACCCTTCCCAGGCCACACTACCTGTTCCGCAGGTCACATCCTTCACCAGACCAGACTCCAGGCTCTTCTCAAGTACCTCTTTCTGGCTGGAATCTGCTCCTGAACTCAAATAATAATGCCTCTTTCTTGCCTGGATGGTGGAGAAAGGTGTGTGGAAACTTCTGGCTTTTATGTTTCTGGAATGTGGCCTACGATGGAAAAGTAAGCCACATCTGTTGCGCCGCCTGCTTTTGGCTGTAACCCTGTACTCTCAAAGTTGCCTATTAGGAAATGCGGCCAAGCTGAAAAAGGTCCCCCCCCCCCAGCTGATTAAAACGTGTTTAATCCTCTTTTGCATTTTTGTATCCCAGAAGAGTGGGGTAATCAAATTAGACCTTGCTTTGTTACTAAAACAGAGCTACTTGTAAGCATTCTTTTCCTGTCCGAGCGCAGATAAAGCTAGGAAAAAAGGGTAGTGAATCAGCCCAGAATTTTGTGATTTGCCATTTTTTAAAGGGTTACAAACTGACAATGTAAGACTGCTTATTTTCTTGTGGTTTTTTATATGGAAGGATTTTTGCGGTGCCTTTTGTGAAAAGGCTGGATTACTAATAAGGCACAGGAAATAGATTTCTCAAGCCTATTATTCACTTGCATTATTTCATGCTGTACTGTGTAGTGTTGTCTACAATGTGCAGATTCCTACACTTAAGAGTGGTTGACCTTTTTTTTTCTTTAACAGAGCTTTCAAGCCATGATGTTTCAAACCTCTGGATTTTGTGTGGTTACTTACATATATATATATATATGCCTCTGGGGTCCATGGGGTATTAAGGGAGAGGTAGTAGTCCTGGTGGGGGACACGTGTTGTTCCTTCTGGGGTAGTTTGTCCACCTTTGGTCCCCACCCTGCAGTCGGCTTTCACCTGTGGCTCCTAGAAGCTGTCAGCATGCGACAGCGGTCACAGCCCACAAATGGCTTTGGCTGGCCAACTAAACCAGGTGAGGGTAGCCGATGGGTCTCAAACCCTTGGTGAGTTAGGGACTTCCCCTGTATGTGAAGACACTCCCAGGGGATTGAGCAGATGGGACCAATACTGGGTCCAAGAGTCAAGAAGTTAAGGATTATGTGAATGACTGGCTGCATTTTTTTCAAATCAATGAGATGTTTAGAAAGGATTTAAATCAGAGGGGTTTTGCTGACAAAGAATCAAAATTTCAGACAGAAATATTGAATAATGATTATAAGATGTTAGCAAAAATGTATAAGATATTATTGGAATGGTGTACGAAGGATGAGGAGGTAAAATCAGTTATGATCCACTGGGCCAAAGACATCTTGCCTCCTTTTCAAAGTGTTAATACAAAAGGAGGATTCTGAACTGAGTCACTAATCTTATTTTCTCTTGGTAAATGAGGCTCCTAAGCATGAAAGGGATATGAAATAGTGAGGCTTATACATCTGTTACTGATTCCAGCTTCATCTGTTTAGTTATAGAAGAAAAAGAGATGGTAGTATCTACCAGCTGCTGGCTTCAGATCTGAAATAAAATCATAGGTGGTTACGGAAATTTTCCAGTGAACAGCATAAGGTAAGTCACAATGCTGAGGCACTGATAAAAAAAATTATTATTTTTTAAATGGCCAATTGGGCTCAGTACTATAACACATACCTCACATGCAAAATATGTCAGGTTTGATTCCAAGCATCTCCAGTTCAAAGGATTATTTTGGGTAGCAGAGCTAGGAAGGACCTTGGGAGAACTGCAGCCAAATGGCACCACCCAGTATAAGGCAGATTCAGAAGTTCTATATTCAGGTGATTCCACATTTTAATTTACCACTTGTAGTTCAGGAGTAGAGAGTATTTTCTATTACTCCTGTGAAAATATGCTCAAATAGGTGTTCTAGCTTTTGAAAGAAGCCAAATGTGCATACAGTTGTGCCACAAATTATAGAATAAGTGTATGTTTTAATTCTGGAACCAGTTTTTTTAATTGAAAGGAAACCTACTAAAATACATGAAGAAATACCAACTATTTACTAAAAAGTAGAGCAGGGTTGTGGGTTTGAGCCCCACATTGGGCAAGATTCCTGCATTGCAGGGGGTTGGACTAGATGACCCTCGTGGTCCCGTCCTGCCCTGCCATTCTGATTCTATGTATAACAGAAAAACTATCATTTGTTAGGGAAGGAGAAAAAGGACGGAAAATGCTTTTGCTTTTGAATAAATGAATTTGGTAGGCTTAATACCATATATTTAAATGAAAAACTTTTGTGATGTGAGGTTATTGTACATTTGCTCTGACTTCTGTTGTGAGTGAGAAGTTCAGGATTGCCACACTTGCCTGTGCTTGATTTTGTTGAGAAAATCACTTATGGTATTTTGTAATCTGAATTTATTTAGAAATATACAAGTTGAGTTTTGATAGAGGCACTCAGTTTAAAAACTCCCAACAGAAAGCTCTACTACCTCATATTTGATCCCCAGAGAGAGGCGGACACCCCCACAAACTTCTTTTTGTTCCTTTTCCACAACAGATTAATAAATGCATTATTTTTTTGTTTTTGTTTTGTAGAGTGAAGACACCAGTAACACTATCGAAGTATTGTACCCTACAAAGTGTATGATGCCGCCACGGGACATTGTCATTGTAAATTGCTTATACATTCTGTTGATAACATACCTGCTCCTTTTTGCTATCTTTGTTTGCCTGTTTGTTCTTATCTATGCATCCAACCTTCTCTTTGGCAGCAAGAACACTGACTGAAGACCCGCAAAATACAAATGCAAGCCAAAATTTAATGAGTCATATTTGCTGACTTCCTTCCCACAGCACTGAAATGTATCTCTGAATCTTGTGCAACATCATCATATAGCTTTGAGAGACTGTGACTTGGTGTATACATGGAAGCAAAATGGGGTAATAAAGATGACAATACTATTGCATACTGAAGGTAGGAAATGTCATTTTTGAATGTTTCCCCACATAAAAAGCTCCCTGCAAACAAAGCTTTTCACATCCCAAGAGACAAGTTCTAAGCAAGCCACCCCCTGCCATGTCAGTTTCCTGGTTTCAGGGAGATGTTTGGTTTCTTTGGTTGTTTTTTGTGTAGAGTAGCAGCCTTCAGAACTGTGATTCCCACTCCACCTGCCGTCTGAAGTGGTGCAGGACACTCCAAGAAAAATGCCCCTCCGTTCCTCTGTCTTTGTAGTCCAGGCATGTCCACTTACTGCTCTGCTGGTGCAGATGAGGGAGACGCTCTTTACTAGCTACCCTCTCTCATTCCCCCAAGTGGTATTCAAGCCGGGGGTAAGCTTATCAAGCAATTTTTGGATTTAGTAGAGGAACTGTTGATAGAAAAAAAAAAAAATAACTCTGACATGCAAGTATGCCTTTTGGATGTGTGGCCATGGGTAAATTCTTCCCAAATTTATGGGACAGAGGCATGTATAAAAGATGCAAGACTAGGGAAGACTGAATTGGGATTTCTGAGTAACTGCCAAAGTTCTCCCACTGATGGTTAAAATCACAATTCTCCGTGCTTCTCATAATTCATTCATTTATTTTTAAATTCTACAAAACGACTCAAAAGTAAAAATGGTTCAAGAAGACACAAAAAGACCTTCAACCCAACTAAGCAAGAGGCACAGTACTTCCCCAAGACATATATAAAATAGTATCTAAGTCAAACTCAGAGTAGATCCATTGATATCAGTGGATCTACTCTGAGCATGAAAGAGTTTGATAACTTTCTAGAAATCTTATGGATGTTTTCTCCTGGGAGAAAATTCCATATGAAAGTCTGAAAAGAGATCATGAAGACAAATTTTGGACAAACTTTTCCTAGTTGAGATGAATATTCTGGATAACATCCAATGTCAAGTGGGCTGACTACTTCTTCTTCTTCTTCTTCTTCTTCTTCTTCTTCTTCTTCTTCTTCTTCTTCTTCCTTTTCTTCTTCTTCTTCTTCCTTTCCAACCCTGATGGACCCCTCTGTCCACATCTGCTCCAGAAGATCACCAAATCTCTAAAGCAGATTTTTGGGTTATTGGGGATGGGGGCAGTAGGGAGAGGAGAAATCCGTTGCACCAACTATGTGTGTCCTTCTAGTGGAGTTTTCTGGTCATTCAATGAATCTTTATGCACAGGGTTGGATGTCACAAATGAGATGGGAATGCCTTTGTTCAAGTTTTCCCCCACAACATATAATATTGCTTATCCACTCCTGCCAGTGGCAACCAATAATTTGGAATGGAGGTGGAGAAATGCAGAGGGGATGGTGTTATTATATGGGGTAAGTGATACCATATGATACAGTGCAGAACGCAACATAGGAATGCTGTTTTCCATACTATTCGTCTCCTGCAACATATATTTCTGTCAGTAGTTTCATTGTAAAAACAGTCTGTTATCTAGAAACATTCTTATATGGATGTGTTTGTGCACTGAACAATTGTTAAGCAATTCATTTAATTTACTGTTTCCCAAAATTTTGCTCAATATGTATTTGCTTTTATGAATTGGGCAGCATTATATTATTCTACTGAAACTGACACTGGAATCATTCAATGAATGGTGGGGCTACAAAATTCTCCTATAAATTCTTCTAGAAGCATTATAGCAGTATCAACAACTTTTACTAAGAACTGCAAATGTTCTATTATATTGTCTTCACTGTACATTTTTTATTTCTGCATTAATATTTCCTTTTGGAATCCACCATCCTCTTGCTCATTATAAAGGCTTAGTTTCATAATATCCATATGTCAGGTAAAAAACATATTAATGTTGTTTTCTTTATTACAGTTTTGAAGTTGAAACAAATACTTCTGCAAACCTTTTGGATATATCCAACTCGATAATATTGATCCAAACATCACCGGCTAGTGGTGTTAAATTGTGTGTAATACTGGCCAGAAGGAAAATTTGAATGCACCTCTTCATCAATATATGCTTGCCTGGAAATAAATATATTCAATTAATAAAAGTTCTCATAAAAATGTAAAGTTCATTCTTCATGTGTGCTGCTTACGCTTCAGATAACTGCTATGCAAAGTAAAGTAGTCACCAAAAGCATCAATAGTATCACAGAACGATAACAGGTAATTGTTATTAAGTCTGACATGTTGTAAAAACTTAGCATGCTTATTTTTAAAGATTATGACAGATCACTGAATGTAGAAAATAGCAAGTTCTCTGTGGAATTTCAGTAGGATGAGCATTTTGGACCAAATGCAACCACTTTGATCAAAACAGAATAACTTTGCCAAACTCTTGAAGATGCCTTGCACAGAGTCAGATCATGGGTCCATCAACCTCAGTGGTGTCTAAAACGACTGGCAGTCCCTCTCCAGGAGACATACCCAACCCTACCTGAAGATGTTTGGGACTGAACCTAGGACCGTCTACAGGCAGACGTTTCCCCAGAAGGGGGTGTCTCCAGATCAGGGTTTTAAACTGGAAAGACTAGAAACCTGAGCCTAAAGAACAACGAGCGGAAGACACTACTCTATTGATCAGCTAAAAACAAAAACCAGGATCCTAGCCTTTATACCAGGCCTGACCAATGCCTGCTATTTTCTGGTGAGACTGAAGATGGTCATATGTATAGATGATAGCTTACCAGACTATCATCTATGAGGTACGTGGTATAAACACTTCTTACCTTGTCTTCTGTTCCTGGGAGAGCTGTGCATTAAGATTATCTAATGTTCTCCGAAGCTCTCGATTCTGACGCTGCTGATGCCGTTCGAAAAGCACTTCTGCCCTAGCTTCCTGAATGCGCTTTCTGTCCCACTCTGCATTTCTTTGACGTTCTTCTTCTTCCAACCTCTATGTCAAAAAGGAAATGCTTGTTATTTCTTCATAAAAGGTAAAGGGACCCCTGACCATTAGGTCCAGTCATGGCGACTCTGGGGTTGCGGTGCTCATCTCGCTTTATTGGCCGAGGGAGCCGGCGTACAGCTTCCGGGTCATGTGCCCAGCATGACTAAGCCGCTTCTGGCAAGCCAGAGCAGCACATGGAAACACCGTTTACCTTCCTGTCAGAGCAGTACCTATTTATCTACTTGCACTTTGACGTGCTTTCGAACTGCTAGGTTGGCAGGAGCAGGGACTGAGCAACGGGAGCTCACCCTGTCGCGGGGATTTGAACCGCCGACCTTCTGATTGGCAAGTCCTAGGCTCTGTGGTTTAACCCACAGCGCCACCCGCGTCCCTATTTCTTCATAGCCAGCAACAATAGCTATTTCTTCATAGCCAGCAACAATTCACACAGCAACAATTCACAAACACCCCCAATCCTAACTAGGGCAATCCTCATACAATCAAAATGGTGTATGTATGTATGTATGTATGTGTGCATATATGTACATGTGCAAATGGTGCTGTGCATGCCTTCTATGTTTAAACAGACCACATGCCAGGGTTGGGATAACTAAGACAGTGGCACAGTGGATTTCAAGCCCACAGCTCAGAACTCTGATCAAACTGCTTCCTCTGTCCTCATTGTAGGCAGGAAGTCTACCCACCCACCTAATAATGTGCTGGTCCTCCCACAGTCTTAATTATGCTGGATCTGATGCAGATCAGGGCCACTGCTGGTGAGTTTCCATGACTGAAATCTACATATAGTTATACTGAGAGTTGCAAGTTGCCTGCCTCTGGCATAAAGGCACAATTATACAGAGCCCAGAATGTGGAAATACATTTAGAGAAATCCATGCAGCTGACATTACCAGCTTTACATAAAATATTTGCCAAGTAGCATATGTCTCCACATAAACATATGAACCCTAATATACTTAATTATTTCTTCTGTAATTATCAAGGAGTAGACATACTGCATGTTTGGTGGAAATGTGCAATGAAATAGGAGTTTTAGTTACAGTTAAGGACAAATGTTAAAAAGACAACTCTATTAGTTCCTGTAATTATTATCTTAGGATATTTGGAAGAGGCAGGATCAGTACAGTAACAGGAAAGAGAACTGTTATTTATAAATTTGTTGTTGTTTAGTCGTTTAGTCGTGTCCGACTCTTCGTGACCCCATGGACCAGAGCACGCCAGGCACTCCTGTCTTCCACTGCCTCCCACAGCTTGGTCAAACTCGTGTTTGTAGCTTCGAGAACACTGTCCCACCATCTCGCCCTCTGTCGTCCCCTTCTCCTTGCGCCCTCCATCTTTCCCAACATCAGGGTCTTTTCCAGGGAGTCTTCTCTTCTCATGAGGTGGCCAAAGTCTTGGAGCCTCAGCTTCAGGATCTGTTCTTCCAGTGAGCACTCAGGGCTGATTTCCTTCAGAATGGAGAGGTTTGATCTTCTTGCAGTCCATGAGACTCTCAAGAGTCTCCTCCAGCACCATCATTCAAAAGTTATTTATAAATAGCTGTACATATTTTAATAGCACAATATAGGGGGGAAAGACACAATTATGAAATAGGAAATTAAGAGTTGGTCAAATTAAATGCATTAGCTTTCTGCCCATCTGGGCACAGTTTGGGCCTCCCCTACTGGTGGTGTTCATCTCTGGTGACCGAGACTAAGAAGAGAAGGCACTCTAATACACCAAACCTATGGAGGTACAGGAGGTACAGGGAATCTGCTTTCTGTGCCTTGCTAGATCAATGCAGCTGAGATGAGAGGCGTGGGCAGCCTTTTCCCTTCTCCTCCTTGTACCAACATATACAATTTCAAGTTTCCCACCCACTGACATCAATCATCTTCTCAAGTTTCAGGGCTTACACAGTTCTTGGTGCTTTGGGGGAACATGTCAGAGGAACAAGGGGATTCAACTCCATACCCAGTCTTCACATGCAGACACACAGACACACACAGGTGTATCAGGGGCTCGAACAGGGATGTATGGACTACTCTGCTGACAAATTACACAAATTCCAAAGGCTTTCAGCCAGACTCTGGCCAGCTACAGGACTGCAGCCTGAATTGGGCTGAGCTAATGAAGCATAATTTCATTTTTAAGGTTGTTAAGAAAATAATGAAGTCATTGGCAGGGCCGTTTTAAGCATATCTGGCGCCCCCCCCCCCCGTTTCCCAGAGTTTTTTAGGGAGGACAGTGCTGCCAGCGGGGCTGGAGGAGGCAGCGCCAGGGGGGCGGCTCCTCTGGCGGGAATGAGGGAGAGGCTGGACACTTCATGCTGCAGTGGCCACAGCAGACGGAGGCTCTGATTCGCCGCGGCATGGCAGAGGCAGGCAAGCTGATGCCAGGAGGCGCCGCATCCAGCCTCTGCCTCTTCCCTGGTGCCCTGCACCACTAGCCTCTATGGGTTGATGTGGATAGATTATGTAATTGTTTTGTAGTTTTAATCATTACAGAGTAGTGTTAGTAGATTTTATGAAGGAATAGTAATGATGATCTAAGTTATGGAATTATATTTTTCTTGATATGTTACACTGTTTTTAAAAAAATAAGTGTCCCTGTGCAATCCCAAAATAATTGTGTGGACAGGGTGGCAATTATGTTAAGTGTGAATTAGTTCTTACAATGAATTCTGGAAAACTGGTGAAAAGCAACTAAGTATTTGTGTTTTTAAACATCCTATTTCAAAAGAGGATTCATAAGTTTCTACTGTGGCACAGTGGCAATATGAAAGTGAATACCAGCTTCTCCAGAACTTGTTGCAGCTGAACGTCACGTATTTCTTTCAGCTGATCTTGGTTCATTCCTTTCCATCGGTTAGGAATCACTCGACCGTTACCAAAGGAACTGGCAGCTTGCTGTGGGTTTTCAGAGAGCAGGTCTCCTCTAAGCAGATTTGAAATCTCAGCTATGTTATCTTCGTTTTCTTGCTGCTTTTCAAGTTGTCTTCTTGATGCAATGTCAGCAGCCTTAAAAAAGACATTGTTGTAGGAAAAACTCAGAAAAACAGCAAACCCTATTAATTATTCCAAAAGATTTACCTTGTTAAACCATGCACAGTTCTTAATGAGTACAGCATGATATTGTTATGCTATCTAATACACTTTACTACAATCCCTTCTCTTCAGCTCACAGGAGAATCAAGACAGAAAGATAAATAAGGAAGACCTAAGAATGGAAACATTAGCAACTGAATTAGACTAAATGAACTGAGGAAAAGGGAGCCAACATAGAACAAAGAAACACAAGAGGATGAGAATCAGAGGTAAGCATCCTGCTGCTGACTGTTTTTACTCAACTGAAAAAAATTAATCTTGCTGTTTTATTGATTTTAGTTATTGTATTTCTGAAGTGCACTGTCAACTGCTTTCTAAAGTTGTGAAAGTAAAGGTAAAGGGACCCCTGACCATTAGGTCCAGTCGTGACCGACTCTGGGGTTGCGGCACTCGTCTCGCTTTATTGGCCGAGGGAGCCGGCGTACAGCTTCCGGGTCATGTGGCCAGCAGGACCAAGCCACTTCTGGCGAACCAGAGCAGCGCACGGAAATGCCGTTTACCTTCCCGCCGGAGTGGTACCTATTTATCTACTTGCACTTTGACATGCTTTCGAACTGCTAGGTTGGCAGGAGCTGGGACTGAGCAACAGGAGCTCACTCTGTCGCGGGGATTTGAACCTTCTGATCGGCAAGTCCTAGGCTCTGTGGTTTAACCCACAGCGCCACCCGCGTCCCTAAAGTTGTGAAAAGTGGTATGCAAATGCTATAAAGAAATAAAACAACAGAAGAAAGAGGAACAAGATGGGAAAGCGGCAAATTAATAAGTCGAAATAAAGGAAGAGAAGTGACAAGGTAAAACTCTCAAAGATTTGAATAGGCCAAAACAGACAAGATTCACTAACTGACAAGAGTTAGCAGTAGTCTAACAAGTGGAAAAACAGAAAGAGAAGAATCAAAACTCACCCACAGCTTAAAAACAAGATAGGAAAGAACCAGATCAAATAAATAAATAAATAAGATGCAGAAGGGCCAACTAAAAGTTTAAGAGACTAAAGTTAAAAAAAATTAAAATCTGCTCATAATTCATTAAACCCCACTTTATTTTGGAGGGAACTTCCTAAGCTGAGCCAGAATAAACCAATGATTTAAACATCAAAAGGTCAAGCAAACCAAATGTCAGATATCACTGTTGTTGGTTCTTTCTCTTACTGGGATCATTCATCATAAAATACGAGCCAATTCTTAAGTCATGCAGGCTTCACTTGGAATGGGAGCTTTCCCACAGGCCTGCGGAGGACTTGTCCCCCTACCCCTTGGAGGTCCTGAGTTTTATTCCAAGAACAAAAGGTTGACCACTTCCAAGGATGGGGGGAGGGGAAAAAGACAGTGATTTGTACATTTGAAGGAAGTCTTTTTGCAGAAACTGAATGGGGATTGTTTGGTTCTGAAAGGGCCCTGAAAACATTCCATAAGAATAGCCTGTTCCATCGAAAATGTTGGATGGCCATTTGTCTTGGGATGCTTTAGTTGAGATTCCTGCATTGCAAGGGGTTGGAAGATGACCTTTGGGTCCCTTCCAACTATACAATTCTATGATTATATGAAACTGTTTTAATGTATATTTTATCGTTAAATTGCTTTGAGATGTTTTATGGGAACAGATTCATAAATAAAATAAAGTATGTCTCTAGAGCAGGGGTGTCAAACTCAAATTCATCGGGGGCTGCATCAGCAGTTTGGTCACCCTCAAAGGGCCGGTTGTATCTGTAGGACTATGTAAAGGACATGTAAAGTGGAGGTTTCCTGTGTAGAACGGCCTGCGCCGCTAGAGGGCAGACGTTCTCTGGCTTGTAGGCTGCTGCGCATGCGCTGAAGAGGCGGCTTTCTTCTGTCAAAAAAAAAAAAAAAAGGGAGAATAAAAGGTGAAGGCTGGGGGCCGGCGGCGGCTACATGGGCCACATGACGAGGTCTGGCGGGCCGGATTCGGCCCGTGGGCCTTGTGTTTGACACCCGTGCTCTAGAGGATGTCTAAATATTCTGAAATGTTTTTTCAGTGTCTTATTTGTTACACTATATTACACTGAACTTGGAAAATAATAGTTCATCTTCTTTTCCCTTTTAATACTGATTTACCAGAGCTTTATTAAATTCTGTAGTAGTGATGCAAATGGCTCGTCTTGTTTCTTCATCTATTCTTTGAAGGTTCACAGCCTTTTGATCAAGTTCCATTCTGTGTTGGTCATGGAGAGCATCTAAATTAGTGAAACAGAATTGGACACGTGTACACATGTAAATCAATATAACTGGGCGGGGGGGGGGGCGGCGGACACCTATTGTCTCATTCTGTTGCTTCTGCCTGTTCCTTGGGCTCAAGTTTCCACGTTCACCTTACACAACCCAATTCATTTGCCCTGCTCTCCTGACAAACCAGTAACTTCTCTAAGCCCTAGATCCAGCTTTCTCCCTCCATTTAATACCAGGGACGCGGACTTATAAAAAATATTGGGGGGGCCCGGGAAAGCTCATGAATAATAAATAAGCTCATGAATATGCAAATAAAGTGGCGCCGCCTCCTCGTGAGCGAATAGGGGAGAGCGTGCTGCGCCTATTAATCAGCTCCAAAGGAAATTGGGTGGAGCTTTTGCTCGGGAGGGAGGGCAGGAGGCATGCAGCCCGCCCCTCCCTGTGCATTTTGGGCTGGGGGAGGGGCGGCGATGGCGCTCTGCTGGAGGGGCGCCGGAGATTATTGGGGGGGCGGAGCCCCCCCAAACGAATTTTTGAGGGGGCTCGGGCCCCCTCAAGCCCCATGGAGTCGGCGCCTATGTTTAATACACATCACATGCATATGATTCTGCAATCCAATGAATGTCTACTCTTAGGTAAATCCCACTCATTTCAATGGGACTTATTCCCAGTAAATAGGTACTGAACTGCTCCACTGCTCCAGACTGTGGATTAGGGCTGACAAAACTGAAATGTATTCCAAGCCAAAAAAAACCACAAAAAGGCAACAAAACTAGTATGTCAGGGAGAAGTGTGCTAAACAAAAATATGTAGGAATGCTTTTGTCTGGCATGCAGCTGAACAACTTGACGACTGTTTGGCCAGCTACCTGAGATATAACTTTCAAAACAAATTCAAAAATCTAGGTTAATTTATTACCAGCATATTTTTTATCTGCCAGTGCGTTCTCCCAATCTTTTTGTTGTTGCAAAAGCCATTCCCTTGTTTGCTCCTTCTGGAATTTCCACCTATTCTCACTGTTCAAATCTTCTCCCATAAACTTCTGCAAGCCAGATATGGTACATCGAGGGTCACTGTCTGCGAGACGAGCTGGGGTATCTTTCTTTAGGGCTTGTGGGTCAGACAAATCAAATTCACGCCGTGTTTCTGGCCGCTGATAAGTTTGGCGAAATTCATTGACAGCTTTGTTTAGAATTTGAGAGTCTCTTTTCTGTCGTTCATCTAAGATGCAGAGGATTTTGTCATTTTGTTTCATTTCAGCAGCTGGATTAAAAAAAGGAAAAAAGTCTCATTCACAACCAGATGAAACATATACTCTTTTTAACTATTTATCAATAAAAGAATTACAAACTTGTTGACCAGCATCCAAAGACTTGTATGTGCACATTTCTGATGGTTCCATGTAGGGTTATGCCAGCTGTTAGGAGGGTGAGGCAGCTTGCTTCAGATAGTCAATTTCAGACTGCAAATGCTCTAACATTTTTACCACCATGCAGATAAGTGAGAGGTGCCTTTTGGCACCATATGTCTTTGAGCTGTCTCCAAACTTTTTCTTTATTAAATGTATATCTCACCCTCCTCCCAAAGGAGCCAGGGTGCCCGTTGTATGCCTGCAGCCTGGCTTCCAGCTACCATTCTTCACACTTCTGTACCACAGGCTGATGCTCTGAAGCACATGCCACCCCCGGTTGGGGGGGGGGCGCTTCTTTTTCAGTGGCACTGCATGCACTGCAGCAGTAGGAAAAGAAGCCTCAGAATCCTCAGTATTTTTGTGTTCCCCATGTGGTCAACTGGATCACTCCTTATTTAAAAAAATGCTAAAGAACCATTCTTTTTATTGAACCAACTTGTTTTGGTGTAGAAATATGCAAATGTTTGAGCAACAGAGGAAAGTGGGGGCATGAAAAGAGTAAGGATGCAATTCTAATCATGTCTACTCAGGTAAGTGGAGTTATCAGGTAATCTGCCATCTTTCTACTCTACTCCAAAATGCCTTACTGCCTTGGCTGATTTTCAACCTGTGAGGTTCAAAATGCATACATGGATATGTAAATACCTGGTCCACAATAGGGGTGGGGCCAGCTAGGACTGGGGAAACAGCAGGCAGGAGAAAGGCTAAGTTTCCCTTCTGAAGCTCCTCTTCTTTCCTTTTTCTAACGGTCACTAGAATTCTATTACACATATTTGTAGTGTGGGACTCAGTCCAATGGCTTCAAGTTACAAGAAAGGAGATTGCGACTACACATCAGAAGGTTGGTTGAAGCAGAGGTTGGATGGCCATCTGTCACAGATACTTTAGTTGAGATTTCTGCATTGCAGGGGGTTGGACTAGATGACCCATGGGTAACTTCCAACTTTACAATTCTATTATTCTATGATAAGCAATGATTCAAATTCCTGGCGAAGTGATAGCCTAGGCAATGGGCCATTAAGTGAACAAACCAAGTGGATCTGTGCCAGATAACAAATGGGTGGGCCACCATCCCTCAACTGGCTGTTAGTTAGAAAGACTAAAGGCCAGGTGGAAGTGATCTCAGCTAGAAGCTAGAAGTGAGAAGCTCGGAAACCAGAGAGTTAGAGTGATGTAGGCTCAGGTTGTATATATGTGTAAATAAACCATATATCGTAAAGGCACCTCAGCCCCTGCTGTACCTTAGTCCAAAGGAAACACCGCCCCAGTAATCTTGCACCACTCGGATATTGCGGTGGCCTGCAACAGTAAGCAGGATCTAATTTGCATTGGTGCTACATTGGGTATATCTCCACTACAAATTTATAACGGATTTACGCCAGTGTAATTTTGATGACTTCCCAAAGAATCATGGAATGGGAGTTTGGTGAGTATTCTCACACAACCACAGTTCCCATAATTCCCTGGGGAAAGAAATAACAATTAGACTTGTTTAAGTTTGTGGTGACCATATGTCTTTCTGTTGCAACTCCTACTGGCTGGAAACACACCTAGTTTGTACCTCTTCCATGTACCTGAGATTAAGTCCCACTTAATGGCACTTGCTTCCAAGTAGACATAGAACCATAGAATTGTAGAGTTGGAAGGGACACCAAGGGTCATCTAGTCCAACCCCCTCCAATGCACGAATCCTGCCCACAGCTAGCCCAGGGTGGAGGGGTGGAGGATTGTGCTGTTAATCTTATATAATGCTGGCAATTCGTGACTTCCATCTTCACAGCAGAAGATTCATAGAAAATGTAAGGTGTTATTTAAGAAGAAGATAGTAAGAGAACAAATTTTGATAGTTGTTTGATAAATTACTGATTTAAACTATTAACAAATATACCAATGCTGTCCTCATATGCCCTCTGAGTTGCTTCTTGGATCTTTCTGTCTTTGATTTGAGCATCCAAAGCTTCCGTGTCAACCTGTAGTTAAAAAAAAGCCCACCACAAAACTGGTTCAAATGTATAAATTATAAAGAAATTACTGTATTACCAAAACTATGCAGGGCTAACTTCAATACAGAAACTGCTATTCAAGATAAAGCATTTAGAAATGAACTAGTGATCAGATTATCCATGTAACTGCTCCAAGACTAATCCTTTCCTAGTATAGGATGTCATTATAAGTTCCCTTACGGGAGTAAAAAGGGCATTAATATATTTTGCAAACTCAAGACACTAGCTTGAAAATAAAGACTTGTGTTAATCTGATTATGTATCCAACTTTAAGCACACATTCTGGAAAACAAGGAAAACATGTACATTTCCAGTGAGAACCAGTGTGTTACTGAATGCTGGAATGGGATAAGGGAGACCTGTGCTCAATCCCCTACTGAGTGGCTTGGGTTCATACTGAGAGTACAACTGTGTTCACTGTGAGCACCCTACATAACAAACAAACAATATACAGTGGTACCTCGGGTTAAGTACTTAATTCATTCCGTAGGTCTGTACTTAACCTGAAACTGTTCTTAACCTGAAGCACCACTTTAGCTAATGGGGCCTCCTGCTGCCGCTGCGCTGCCGGAGCACGAATTCTGTTTTCATCCTGAAGCAAAGTTCTTAACCTGAGGTACTATTTCTGGGTTAGTGGAGTCTGTAACCTGAAGCGTATGTAACCTGAAGCTTAGTAACCCAAGGTACCACTGTATTAGTAAGAGATTTCTGTCCTTAAACACATTATTTACTTGCCTTTAGGATTGTCTATCCAAGCATTGCTCTCAAATGTCTAAACATGACTCTACATAGATTTTTAAGAGCATGCCACTAACACTTGACATACTTGCTTTGGGAACTACAGTATTACTCTGTTATCAGAGCAAAGCATGGCATTTTCTTTAATCATGAAGTTCACTGAGAGGACTTTTGTCTAATCGCCATTGCTCAGGTAGTGACCAAGCTTTTGTAAATTCAATGTCTTCATTGCATTTGTAGATATGATAAATGAGCAGTAATTAACAAAAGATTACAAATGAAAATAAAGGTAAATATAAATAAAATTGGGAGAGATAAATAGCAGTCTTAGTAGTAGCTGGTGATGTGAGTTATACAATATCAGAAAGAAAATATCCTAATAATTCAAGGAATGTCTATGTTTTTAATTTTCCACAGCGTTTTCCAAATATTTCTGTGGATTATTCATAACATTTGCAATAGGGAGTTTGCAAGAAGAGTTGCAAGTCATCTGAAAAAGTTTTATGCTGCTCATTGGGACATTGCGGTACCATTTATTTCATGACTGTATTGATCAGGCTGCAAGAACCAACATTCTCAGTAAAATCAATTTTGACATTCCAATTTCAGAAATTTACAGACAGGATACTTAAATCAACACTTTGGTCTAGATGTCCTAAAAGGAAGCATTGCCCCTTCCCAGGAGTCACTCTGCCCATTGCTAGAGGCACTCTGTCTACAGTACCAGAATCATTATTATTATTATTGCTATTATTTATTCCCCCACACCCCTCTCCCGCACGCTTACCCCGATGGTCCTGACCCTGGCGTCGAACACCCGGCTTTGCCTCTGCAGCTCCCGGTAGCGCCTCCGCTGGAGGGCAACGTCCTCGGCCAGGTCTTGGCGGTAGTCCAGCTTCTGCGCCATTGGGGGAGGAAGGAGGCGCGTCTAAAAACCTGCAAATGGCAAAGCAACAATTTCCACTTATACGTTTGCGCGCGTGAATGTTTTGTGTGTGTGTGTAATATATATATATATATATATATATATATATATTCCTTCTTCCCCCTGACAGATATAATAGCAAAAGCTAAAAACATAGGGGGTGGGAAACACTCGTTAAAAAAGCATTGAACATTAATCAAATTAAAGCTATATGCATATAAATATATATGAGATGATCTGCTGGAGTTACATCCAAAGCAGCTTCCCCCCCCCCCGCCCACCTCGCCTTCTCTCCTCCTGGGGATGCGAAGGAGGATGTCAACAACGCGCGGTTGCCAAGGGAAACAGGCCGCGCCCCCAGCCAGGTTCTCTTCCGCTCCAAGGGCCGCCTTGCCCCATAAGCCACGCCTCCCTCTTGGCTCCGCCCACCCCGTCTCCCCATCGCGCTTCCTCTCGCGCCTTCACTCTGTGAAGAACACGCCGCCCTCTTCCTTACTGGTACTTCCGGTGAATCCCCCCCCGACCAAAACACGGGGCGGGATTTCACCATAGACGCGCGAAGGCTAGAGCGACGCTGTGCTCCTCCCGATGTCGGAGTCGAGCGTGCTTCGAGTTTCTTACGTGACTTTTTAAGGCTGTGCAGGGTCAGTTACACGTGTGTCTCGGATGCAAGCGGCGCGCTTCTCCTCCTGCCCACGGGGGGGGGGGGGGCTCGCCTTCTCCCCCACGGAGGGGTCAGAGGCCGGACTCGCTTCGGCCAAAGGGAACATAAAACATAATGAAATACTGTTTCAACGCATTAGATGAAGTGTTTGTTTTTTAAAACCTTCATCTCCGCACTTTATACCACAGTAGACAAAGTATTTTTTTTATAAGATATTTATTAGGATTTTTTTTGAAATATTACAATAAAGAATGAAGAAAAAAACAAAACAAAATAAAAATGGTTAAAAACACTCAAGTTTCCCATTGCTTATTTTTCTTTAGCTTGTTTCCCGGACCTCCTCATACCTCCCTTTTTTTGTATTCCAGTTCAGTTTGTTGGTTCAGCAAATCCTTACCCTATTTATCCTAATCTTTAGTCTTAAAATAATAATATTCCCTTAGAGCATTACAGCTAGAAACCACTTAATTTCTATCCAACATCATTCTAACATTAATTTTACAATATTACAATATAGACAAAGTATTTTTAAAGTAAAATTAAAGGTTACTCTTCAAGTACAACCTAATATTTAGTCGGGTAGAATTCCAGGGTTCATTTAATATATTTAGTGCATGTATTATGGTGCATAACTGATTTATGTTTATAGTGTACATTGATTTACCGCTTGTAATAACGAGAAGATTGTAGCGCGTAACTGATTTATGTACTTTGTTATTTGCGCCATTGAATTGCATAGAGCAATTTAATCAATAAACGCTAAATAACTTCGCAGCTAAATCGAAAATTTCTTCGTGGCTGTTGCGGCGAAGTGATTCCCCCCCGAGGGGCGTCTGGCCAGCCGCCCTCCGGAGTCCAGCACCGGCCGCACCTTCGCGGCTCTCGCGACGGCCCTCGGGCGGCGCAACTTCAGCGCCCGCGCTACTCGGAAGCGGAAACACCGCCCCCGGCGTCTCCTCGCGTTCGCCGGCTCTGCGCGCGCAGCCCTCAAAACAACCCGGAGCCGTTAAACTGGGGGCGGGGCTTCCGTTCCGATTTCGGCGAATCCCGTCGAACTGCCCGCCCCTCTCTTGGGACTCTCGCGAGATTTTGTACCCTTATGAAGAGCGGGGCGAGAGCAGGCCTGTGTGAGAAGAGACGCTCTAGGTAGAGACGATAGAGAGGGGCCTGTGAGGCGGCATCCGGGCGAGAAGGTGATCTTCTCCCCGCTTCTCCCGTTCAAAATCCTTGGGCGAGGAGACCCTTCGGGACTCCCCTCAGCTCTGTGCTTGTTTGCGTTGTATGATTTTATCGCGGTTTTTCTTTAAAAAAATAAGGAGACTTATTTTCTTTTTGAACTCCCCGTTTGAATGTGTTTAGCGCCACCTGGAGCTTATATTATATTATTACACATATAATATGAACATGAGGGTGTGAGGAAAGCAGGTTACGGTATATCCACCTGTATTAAAAAAGCACACACGCATCACTGTAAATATATACAGTATTATGTGTGTGTGTGTGTTTGTGTGTGCATATCTATATTTCTATCTACACACAGTCTTGAGATTCCTGCATTGCAGTGGTTGGACTAAATGACCCTCGAGGTCCCGCCCAACTCTACAGTTTTACTTAATTTTACTTCTATATAGTAATGTTATATGGCACCTATTTTGTTAACTATGTTGGTAATTTAAATATCGGGTGCTGAATTGTCACTGACTTGTTAAAAATATGACTTAGGCTGCAGCCCCTGCTCACCTGGGTTCAAAGGATTTAACTTCTGGGTAGGCATGGTTAGCGTGGTGCTGCAAGAAACGTTTTAAAGCGGGAATTAGACAAATTCATGGAGGATACAATGGCAGCTACAGTGGAATTTGTGGAGGGCTGTGTTGAGCGCCAGTTTAGTAGGGTCAGATTGGTTGGAGAGGGCAGTTGCCTTCATTATTATTTATTAAATTCGTGCTTTTAAGTTGTGCTTATATTAAGGGGAATATGGGAACATGGAGAATATATATCGATGGCAGTTTATATTATTATTATTATTATTATTATTATTATTATTATTACTACCGTATTTATTAAATTAATGCATAGCTACTGGCCTGCCTGTTCCAGCAATGTTCTTATATGTTACAACTATTATGTGTAATACAGTGGAAGGTCTCCATTTAATGGGATTAATGATTTATGGTATAATCCTAACTACATCTCTTCAGAAATATATCCTGTTGAATTCAGTGGCACGTACTCCCAAGTGAGCAGTGTTAGCTTGCAGCCCTGGTAATTATCCATATCATTTCTTTTTTTAAAAAAGATATTTATTAAGGTTTTCCACAATACATTAAAAAAAAATCAAAAAAAGAAAAAAAATTAAAAACACATAAAGTTTACAGTCCTTATCTTCAATGACATATTTCCCTGACTTCCCCACACCTCCCCTTCTTGTATTCCAGTTCAATTTGTTTGTTCAACAAGTTCTTGTCCCCTAATTTTTAACCTTATTATTTTAATTCATTTTAGTTAGCCAATTTTAATTTATGAACATCAATATTTATATGTCAGTGTTCATTCTTAAAACCCTTTTCTAAGTTCGACCCAGATTCCCTTCCACGAATTCCCCCAATTTTTATACTAATAACCTAATAAAAAGAAGCAAAATATAATTGTACACCCTTTGGATTCCCAAAAACCCCACCCCCTCCCTTTCCCGATTTCGATCCCAGCGAATGTCCATCGGTCTATCTGCTATCAGCCTGGAGACCTCACATCCGAGGCTATTAATTCTCTTACAATTCCTCTCTGCTGGTTTTTTTTGATAGTCCTTTATATTAGACACCAAGTCTCGGAGAAGCTCTGTCCCAATAGGGTCCATGTTTCTTCCAGCCAGACCTCCATATTCAAAATTGGAGCCCAAATCTTGTTTCTTACTCCTTTTAAGTCCAAATGTCCCAAAAGCTCCAACTTCCACCTTGATCCGATTTGTAATCCATCGGTCTTCAGATCTCCACATAAGGAGATCTCTCCATTCTTTGTTCTCCCGTTCAGCCCAGATTTTCATCATCCAGTTCTTGTTTTCCTTTATATCCATCTTGACAGGCCTCTGGCTCACCTTTGTCATCTACAGCATATCCATATCATTTCTACTGAGCAACTCTCATATTCAAAGGGTTGCAGTGTTTGATTGTTACTTAAAGTGTTTATTAACTATTGAGGGGAAATTTTCTATGTATTTTTCTTTCAAAAATAAATTTCTCTCCTCCCTGTAATCCATAGATGGGATACTTGCAGCTTTTGATGGTGGAAAATTTCAAATCATGGCAAGGGAAACAATGCATAGGACCGTTCAAGAAATTCACATGTGTCATTGGTCCCAATGGTTCAGGTAACACGTGAACAATTCAGACAGGCTTCTGTCCTGTTATCTCCACACTGTTGCTAGAGTTTTTCTTTATCCTGTGTATTATTTGTTGTCTGTGATGTACCAAGCAAGATTTATTGTATGCTACTTTGAATGCTAAAAGGTGTTAAAATGGTTTTAATGAAATACATTTTAAAAATTGATTGGCTGGAATGTAGTTCTACCTACCCAAATTGATTAATCTATATTAATATAACCCATTCTAAACTAAACTGAATAAACTAGCCCTCTAGGGAAAGTTTGCTGAAGGTTTCTCAGTTTTTGAGACAATGGCTGTTACTCAAATATCAAGCTTTGAGAAGCCTTTAGCCCCCACCAATAATGCCTTTGAGGATCTTTCCATTCTTACCCCAATATAGAATTCTTCATATCCAGTATGATATACCTGCTAAGTCTGCAGGTGGCATATGCATTGCTGAGGTTGCAATGTTTAATCTTCTGAGGTCTTCCGAGGTATCCTCTGTGCTTTTCTCCCTTTTTTCACTGGAACTACGGTACTCTGTGACCCTTACTTTCCTCCCCATATGCTATGCTTAAATTCTGCTTTAGGCATAAACAAGCTGTCTTATATACTTAAATTCATATTAAAACTAGAAAGAAAAATACAAGCTTATTCAACCTTAATTACTGAGGTAATACTTCATTTTATGTTGCAGAGGGGAAAAGTGGGGCTCAAAAAGAGGAGTTAACTTACAGCTGAGTAAGCTTATAGGTGGGTTTCATTTCAAAATGTTTTAGAAGAGATAGTTCCTGTCTCTTCTAAGGTGGTACCTGCTATGGCAGGTTTGTATACGTTACAGAAAAATAATACATGTTTTTTGCCTTATGAATTATTATTAACATTAATTTATCATTTATCATTAATTTATCATTAATTTATATAATAGTTCTGAAGGAAAAAACCTCTTATATATTATATAAACCTCTTATATAGTATAATTACCCTATAAATTACCAAACCAAGACTTGGGGGTATGTGGTAATGATTTCAATGTTTTCTACAGTGAAGTCTTACGGTTATCAGAAACTAGTAAAATCCTATGTTGTACTCCTAATCTTCAAGACTAAATTAGGGGAAAGAAAAGAGTATAATTTAATATTAAAATTAGGCATCTATCAGTGTCATATCAATGAAGCAGTTTTATGGGGTTTCAGGGGTTTCCAACTTTTTTGGGTCAGTAGGCACATTTGGAATTTTGAGGGCTCTGGTCACAAAATGGCTGCTTTGGGGCATAACATAAAATGGCTGCCACATCTAAAAGAGCAGAAAGAGTACAGCAAAATGGTACAAGCGTCCCCCTGCTCCCCCTATCAGTGGGGCAAAGGTACCTCTAGCAGCCACAACTGTGCTTGCTCACAAAAAGGCCCTTTTTGCCTATCTCATCCATTCAGAACAGAGGGAAAGTGTCTCCAGCTCTGAAATTTAATGAAATGTGAGTGTGATTAAGAGAGCAAGCTCAGCACAGGAGAGGTTAGAGATGTTGAAGGAAAACAAACAGGAAAATGGTCAGGGGGGCTCCATTTTTTTCTGAAAAAATGGGGGACACCACATTTTCCATTTTTTTTAATGGACCGACACATCTTTACAGTACAGGAACTGGGCAGGAAGAGTGAGCAGACTCGTATGCATTGTGGGATTTTGAAGGGATGTTTTGTGGGTGGTTGAGGAGGCGCTGGCAGGGAGACACACAGACCCCAGCAGGTGTCATGTTGTGATCTCAGGCATACCTGGTGCTCTTGCTTGCCCCAGTATGGTGCCCCACACTCTGTGGGAATTGCTGTGTGAGGCACTGTTTCAGAAATTGCCTCCTTATTTGTGTATCTAGAGGTATAAAAATGTATTATAAAGAAGAAACCTGAGTTATATAGTCTCCTGTTACCTGGGCTAGTGGTTTTTAGTCATAAAAGTACAGTGCAAAACTGTTTCAACCTGTATCTATGGCTGATAGCAAATCTGATTAAAGTTCAATATGGCTTAGTA